ATCTTAAACCATCTGATGGCTGTACTTCTGTGATACTAATATTTGCATATTTGGAAATAGTTTGAGACAATAAAATACTTGAAACTATCAAAAATATTGGACACTATGTGAATAAAATAGGTTCTTAGAAGAAAGTTTTACTCTGTATCTAGATATTTTACCATTGTTTGACACATAGCCCTGGGTTTAAAAATACTAATAGTGATGTTAATTCTAAACATTCTTTTTTTCTAAGATCAGCTTCTTCAAAACACTAAGACTCTAGAATAAGACCATATGGGTTTAAATGTGGATTTATTACTTAAGTGAGTGACCAAGGATAACTGTATTAGCTGTTGAATGATGAATAGCAAATTACCCAAAAACTTAATGGCTTGAACAATAAGCATTTATAACTCACACCAAGTCTGTGGTTCAGGAATTCAGGAGCCACTGACTCAGGTTTCTCATGGGGTGCAGTCAACATATTGGCAGGGGTTGAAGTCATCTGAAGGATTGCCTAGGGCTGGAGGATCTTTTCTTTAAAAAAATTTTTTTTTTATTGACTTCAGAGAGAAAGGAAGAGGGAGAGATAGAAACATCAATGACGAGCGAATCATTGTTCAACTGCCTCCTGCATGCCCCCCACTGGGGACAGAGGCCACAACCGGGCATGTGCCCTAACACGAACCTTGACCTCCTGGTTCATAGGTCGATGCTAACCACTGAGCCACACTGGCTGGGCTGAAGGATCTTTTTCGTTCGCACACCAGGCAAACTAGCACTAGCTGTTTTCAGGAGGTCGCAGTTCCTTATCATGTTGGCCTCTCCGTAGAAGTGAATGTTCCCTGGATGGCAGCTGGCCTCCCCCAGAAAGAGCAATCCAAGAGAGAGCAAGGAGGAAGCCTAATGCCTTTATGAACTCAGATGTCACACATCATCACTTTCACCACATTCTGTTCATTAAAAGCAAATCATTAAATTCAACCCACATTCAAGGGGAGGGAAATGGTACTTCATATTTTGAAGGGAGGAGTTTTGTTTTCTTCTTATTGTTATTTTTTCCTGATACATCTAAGGACAATCAGTATAATTAGACAGAATAGTGTCTGGATAATTTATACCAAGCTGGGTCTGACAGAGCCCTTGTAACCGGCTGGAACCTATTTTTTCTTATGTTTCCAAGGGCAATTGGCAGTTCTTTCAAAGCATCTTGAGTTCATTGCTGGTTCAGACCTGTGATACTTTGAGTCCGCCCCATTTTAAGAAAGGGCTCCACTTTTCGCATGATAAACCTCTTTGAGTTTGCTGACTCCTCACATCTGACATCCAACCCATCAGCAAGTCCTGGTGGCTCTACTTTCAAAATATATGCAGTCTATAACTCATTCTCCTCAGCCCCAGAGCACCACACAGTCCAGCTCACCACGACCTCTCACCAGCGCTTCCTTTCTTGACCCCTTTCAATACTACATTGAGCACCCACAGTGATCTTTTTAAAAACATAAATAAAACCATTCTATTTTCCTTTTTTAAAACCTTGCAATGAATTTCCTCAAAACAAACAAACAAAAACAAAACAAAACAAAACACATCAAACAATTTACTCTACAACTTCATCTTCTGGATCACTCCTCAATAGTTTCTGCCCCTTCCAGCTCACCCAAATTATTTTGACCTCAGGATCTTTGCACTAGCTCTTTCCTCTGCCTCAAATGCTCTTTGCATGGCTTACTCTTTTATTTTAGTCAGGTCCTATTCAAATGTTGCCTCTTCGGATAGACCTTGCTGAGAGGCCTACCAGAAAGTGTGGGGAAGCATGGGTCTTGGTTGGAAAGTCTGTAAGAAGGAATCTCTGAAAGGTCAGTGGCCTCTGCCTTGACTTTTCCAAACAAGTATGAGTCCCTGGGTGTTTTACTGGAATCTCTATGTTTAGACTTCAAAACATCCTTACTTAAAGAATACTTTTTCTAAGGATACTTACCCTGCTGATAGTATCTAGAGGTGAATTTTATTTCAAGCTGTGCTATAATAAAAGCCTAAGGAGGCAGGTAAACAGGGCTGTTTGGTTCCTATAGCCAAGCAGCCCTTTACCCCTCTCTTTCACAGAAACATGTGTCAGAGTAATCATTCATCCATCCCTCAGGGCAGTGATGGTGAACCTATGATACGTGTGTCAGAGGTGACATGCGAACTCATTTTTTTGGTTGATTTTTCTTTGTTAAATGGCATTTAAATATATAAAATAAATATCAAAAATATTAAGTCTTTGTTTTACTATGGTTGAAAATATCAAAAAATTTCTATATGTGACATGGCACCAGAGTTAAGTTAGTGTTTTTCAAAATGCTGACATGCCGAGCTCAAAAGGTTCGCCATCACTGACTCAGGGTCTGCTGGTCAGCCCCAGCAAGAAAGCATCCCAAATCCTACCATACTTCCTTAATATGATGACACCCCCTGTGTTATCATCTTCAATATTTATGTGTTTTTTGTCTGCCTCCCTTACTAGACTGTAAGCTCCATAAAAACAGGGAGTTTTCCTTATTCATTGATATGATATGCACCCTGACCTCAGAATGCTGCCTGGCACACAGTTATGAGTCAATTGATTAATCCAGAAATCACTAGTCGGACCTACAGATATATTTTGTTAATACAATGTTACCTGACAGTGTTTTTTAAAAATATTGTTTAGTTGACAACTTTTATAAACTATGGGATTTCATATAAAAACTAGAGGCCCGGTGCACAAATTTGTGCACCAGTGGGATCCCTCAGCCTAGCCTGTGGGATTGGGCAGAAACCACCTCTCCAACATACCCTGAGGGGTCCCGGATTGCAAGAGAGTGAAGACCAGGCCAAGGGACCCCACTGGTGCATGATTGGGGCAAAGGAGGGATGCGGGAGGTTGGCCAGCCAGGGAGGGACCATGGGAGGATTCTAGGGCATGTCCAGCCTGTCTCACTCAGTCCTGATAAGCTGGACCCCAGCAGCAAGCTAACCTACAGGTCAGAGTGTCTGCCCCATGGTGGTCAGTGAACATCATAGTGAGCGATTGAGCGGCCTTAGCATATCATTAGCATATTACACTTTGATTGGTTGAACAGATGACCAGACACTTAGGCTTTTATTTTAGGCTTTTATTATATAGGATTCCCGGTTGGGGCTAAAAATTAAGAGGTTTTTTTTTGTTTGTTTTTAGAGTCCTTTGGCAAAAATCATGTCATGTTTACTAGCAGCTGCTCCTTTTAGACAGGATTTACCCCAGATCCCACCACTCCCTATTGTATTCCTGACACCGATGACCTTCTTACCTCTGGTTCCCTTCACTCCTCTGTATTATCTGCCTGGCCCTGCAGGCTTTTAGGACCCTAGAATAAGCATATTTATGGTAAGTTTTCCAATATTTGTCCTACATATCAGTGCAATTTTTCATGTAAAACTTATAAATGAAATTGGTCCCATGTTGGATTTCCAACTCATATTCAGACACACATTTGGTGCCATTCTAGTTATAGAACAATCACCCAGCTTAACAAACTTTACAAAGAACTTTCACTAATAAAAGAAAGGAAAGACTCAATTGTGTTTCAAAATAGTTTTTACTTTTAGAAGGTTATTTTTAAAAACATTAAAAAAGAAAACATAGATTTCAAATACTTTTCTTTATTTTCAAAACCTCATGAACATTCGATCCAGATGTTTACCTAAAGTGATTCATTTACCAGTGTGGGGCACACCCAGTTGTCCTAAAAAAGAAAATAACTGAGTTTAACAATAGATGGTTACATAGTCTGAAGTCAGATCGAGAAAATACATATATGTATATAAGAGCAATAACTATGTCTTTTTCCTCATTGTATAACCAGTTCCTATGTTTATATTAGGGACTTGAACATATAGTAAGCATCTGCTATTTCTCCAGAACTATATTAAGCAGTTGCAGAACCCATATTCTGTAAAATTTCTAGAAGTGCCAGACAGCAAAAACTAAACAAAACAAACAAGTAAATGTTATAACATAAGCAATAGGAGTTGATAAGTACTATAGATAAAAAAGAAAATGGAGTAGGGTAAGTAGAAGGGGACGCCTGACTGATTACTGCTCTTAATAGTGTGGTCAGGGTAGGTCATGTTAAAAAGATGATATTTGAACAAGACCAAAGAAGGCAAGGGAGTTTGCCCAGTGTATCTGTGGGGAAAGAGACTTTCAGGATAAGGAAAGGTCTAGAGTAAAGTCCAAAGGCAGCAGCATGCCTACTCAGGCTGAGTTACTATGCAGTCAAGTAATTGACTAAGGTAAAGAATACGTTCTTTGTTCTTTACCTTAGTCAATTACTAGGTAAATTGACCAACAGGAGAACTGTGTTCTTCCTAACTAAGGAACATTTATCACCTATTTTTAATTAAATTATTTTAATTTGACCATGACCTAGGCACTGGGGACTCCATAACAGTGTAAGAGACATTCATAGAACTTTAGCTTCACATTTGTAAGGGGAGCTGGCCCCAGTTGGCCCCTCAGTGGAAATCTTGACCCTAAGCTACTATAGATGCATAGCAAACTCTTATGAACTGGCTGCATTTTCTTTTCTTTTTTTCAATATGTCTTTATTGATTTTAGAGAGAGAGGAAGTGAGAAAGAAAGATAGATAGAAACATCAATGAGAAAGAAACATTGATTGGCTGCTTCCTGCATGACCCCTGTTGGGGATGCCACCTGGGCATGTATGTGTCCTGACCAGGAAACCAACTGGTGATCTCCTGGTGCATGGGACAATGCCCAACCAACTGAGCCACACTGGCCGGGCTAGCTGCATATTCATTATTCCCAGCACACTCTCCTGTTTCATATATCAAACATTGGTGTTTTTCAAAGGAGTAGTCCACAAGGAAAAGAATAAGAACTGAAATTTGTTATCTTACTCTACATGTTAAGTACTCTCTGCTACATAATGCAGTTCAGAGGGGGACTCATGAAAATCTCCCTAATAGAGCTTCATGTCTCCTCAATGCAGCTACTCGCAAGCGGCTGGCCCTTCGGAGTTGAGATGTGCAAGCTGGTGCCTTTCATACAGAAGGCCTCTGTGGGGATCACTGTGCTGAGTCTGTGTGCTCTGAGCATTGACAGGTAAGATCAGATATTTAAGTCAGGTATATCCTGAACACTCTATAGTAACTGCTATGTTACTTAGAAAATAGCTATAAAATTCACTAAAACCAGGCTCTGCCAGATGGACAAACACTTCTATTTCGCTCTTCAGGTATCGAGCCGTTGCATCTTGGAGTCGAATTAAAGGAATTGGGGTTCCAAAATGGACAGCAGTAGAAATTGTTTTGATTTGGGTGGTCTCTGTAGTTCTGGCTATCCCTGAAGCTGTGGGTTTTGATATGATTCCCACTGACTACAAAGGAAGACCTCTGCAAGTCTGCATGCTTCATCCCATTCAGAAAACAGCCTTCATGCAGGTAAATTTTACTCCCTGCCCCCCCCCTCCCCCGCCCGCCCTTTCTGTTCTCGCCTTAAAAATATTTAGCTATTTTCCCCCTGATTTCTCCTCCTTGGAAGTTATTGATTTATGACTGTCCTTGGCATAAATTAAGAGTGTAGGTCCCAGGACTGAGGGTTAACAATGACTAACGACCCAAGCTGCAAGAAGCTGGGTGCCTATTTCTCCAAGAATCCCCTGGCATTCAGAGATACAGATAAACCAGGTTCACATGAGAAAATCAATCTGAATTTATAGCTTTTCTACTCAAACCCCACAAGGACCAGCAACTACTACATTTTTTTGCATAAGACAGCACAGCAATCATCAGAGGGAGTAGATAGTGCAGTGATTGATCAAGTAGAAGTTGCCCTGGTATAGATGGATTCTGAATGGCAAGCCTGTCCCCTCTAAAGGGAAAGATATCATTGCAAAGAAGCTTTCATCTTGGCCGTTTATTCAAGAACGTTTAATCAGGTGATAGGAAAAGGATGCAATGCTGGTCACCAGAAGATAGATCCTAAGTGTAAAAAGCTCTTCCCAGCAGAATGAGTGAAGAAGAGTTCATGCAAAGGGGGCTCATCTAAGGATCACCAATGATTATTTTCCATTTCATATCTAAGAAGACTATATAAAACTTTATGAATTCTATATATTATGATAATCAAAAGATTAAAGAAGGATATTAATGTAAAATTGGGAATGAAATTGCTGTCTTCTTGTTTCTTATTAGTTAAAAGAGGAAAAAGTACTGCATTGATTGTATAAGTTCTGCTCCCACACAGACATGTCTGGAGTAACAATTTTTAAAAAGAACAGAAAAAAAAAAAAGAAGAAAGGGTCGCTTTGATTTTTTTTAATTGATTGGTTAGATTTATACATTACAGAGCTAAATGATTAACATAAACCTTTTTTTGTATCTGTTTTTCCCATGAAATAAATGTGTTAAGAAGTGAAAATTTACCATAAACACTATGATATTTTTACATACTCAGATGTAGTATTTCATACAAAGAATAGCATAAGGAAAACTAGTTTGTGTGAAGACAAGAGTATCTGAATTACCAAATATTTTAAATTCTGTCTAACTGATTAAAGTTTAAAACATATTTATAGCCCATTGCTTTCAAGAACTGAAATGCCTTTTAGGAAAAGTTTGTTTTATTTAATAGCAGTACTTAATTATTTGTTCATATGTGACCTGAAAGAGTCTATATAGTGTTTATAAAATAGATCTACAGTACTTTAGGAAATAATTATTCCATGATGATTTTTTAAAATTTAACATTTGCTATATAGAATTTTTTTACCGAGAATATTAATCATGAAATTCTCTCTTCCCACAGACTCAGATAGAGAGCAGGCAGACAGCTCTTGTGGGAGGGTTATTGGGGTGGAGAGATTGAGGAAAAAAAGAGAAAGAACTGATGGACATGGACAACAATGTGGTATTGGGAAACAGGGGGACTAGCGGAGGTAGAAGAGAGTATGGGGGGGGGATAAATGGTGATGGGAAAAATAAAATAAAATAAATAAAGATGAAATTCTCTCTTCCCCACAGTTTTACCAGAAAGCTAAAGATTGGTGGCTATTTAGTTTCTATTTCTGCTTGCCATTGGCCATCACTGCACTTTTTTATACCCTGATGACCTGTGAAATGTTGAGAAAGAAGAGTGGCATGCAAATTGCTTTGAACGATCACTTAAAGCAGGTAAGAAAGTAGAACTATTTCTAACTCATGATTATAATTATGATTATGGTTGTGAATAACAAAAGTATTATGATGATATATTAAAATTATTATATACTAGAGTATATCTCCTTGTTCTTGCTCAGGTATTTTTCTTATATTACCTATCTAGGCATAGTCTATATAATTTAAAGAATCTAGAGAGAGCTATTACTTTTCAAATATGAATCTCTAGTCATTTTAGTTTTAATTCGTATTAATTATTCAATTTAAAGCTTAGTGCCCTGAATTTTTGCAAATGCCACTGACCTTTGTATACAATATTAAATATTAGGTTTGGGAAAGGAGAACACTGTGATTACAATGAGCCATCATCTCAGAGTCTGACTATGTTTTTATTTCAGAGACGGGAAGTGGCCAAAACAGTATTCTGCCTGGTCCTTGTCTTTGCCCTGTGTTGGCTTCCCCTTCACCTCAGCAGGATTTTGAAGCTCACTCTCTATGATCCGAGTGATCCCAATAGATGTGAACTTTTAAGGTAAGAAAACTAAAATAGAGATAGTTTTGTAAATAAATGCCACACAGAAATTTTAATTGATCCTTTTCATAGGCAGAAAGAGAAAGTAGTATTTTTCTGATCCTTAGGGAGCAATTAAGATTCCCACTTTTTACCTTCACTTCTATTTTAAAGGAAAGAGTAAAGGGGGCTTAGGAGAACACTGGGAACAGAGAGCCAGAATTATCCACATAAGTGTATGGCATGCTTGGAAATATCCAGTCTGATTCTCCTTTGCACATTGTAAAATATCCCTTTTCAGCCAGCCAGAGCACTTCTAAATACAATTTTATTTTAAAGGGGAGAATTGGGCACGGTATGGGGGAGGGTGTGTGGGATGGCAGAGACAGAGAATAAGAAAAAAAGAGACAGAGGGACAGAGAAGTCACTATCAGCAAAGACCAGTAATAAAGTCAAAACCATTGTGTATATGGGTAATTTTTTTCTTCATAAAAACACAACAGTCTGTAAAGAATACATGCTCAGAGCAGCATATTTTGCACTGACAGGTTTTGGGTTATTTTTGCAGCTTTTTCTTGGTATTGGACTACATCGGCATCAACACGGCCTCCCTGAATTCCTGCATTAATCCAATAGCTCTGTATTTGGTGAGCAAAAGATTCAAAAACTGCTTTAAGGTAAGAGAGTATTCCAAAATAAAATGGTCTTTTAAATCTGGCTTCAAATATATCTCTTCTAATCTAATCTAATAAAAGAGAAACATGCAAATTGCCCACCCCTCCACTACATCCCAAGCCATGCCCACCAGCCAATCAGAGCGACTATATGCAAATTACCCCAACCAAGATGGTGGCCAGCAGCCATGGAGCTGGAGCAAGCAGGAGGCTAGGTTGCCGCGGTGATGGAGGAAGCCAAGCTTCCTGCCTGCCCTGGCTGGCTGTGGCCTCCGCTCAAGGCAACAAAGTTTCAATTATAGAAGATAAATAAATCCCAGATACCTGCTTCCAGCCAGCCTCCACTGGGAGCTTGGGTGGCTTGGGGTTGTGGCCAGCCTGCAAACAGCCATCAGCCCCTCACCCAGGTTGGCCAGGCCCCCCAGTAGGACCCCCCCACCCTGAAGGGGGTGTGGCCAGCCTGAAAACGGTCCTCAGCCCCTCACCCAGGCTGGCCAGGTACCCCAGCTGGGACCTCCACCCTGAAGGAGCTGTGGACAGCCTGCAAACAGCCATCAGCCCCTCACCCAGGCTGGCCA